CGCTCGTGCATCCAAGCTATTGCCTCCAATGCATAGCTCCTTTTCCAACCCACTTCCACTTGACAGCCTTCTGACAGTGCTGGATTTATGCACCAATTTACCAGCTCGCGCGTGCAGTGCGCCGCTCCCCCCCCCCCAAATCATCGGTGAGCGAAACTGCGGCAGCTACGACCAGTGTACGACGAGTACGCGGTTCTTACAGCTGACGATGATGATGATGATGTTGTGTCGGTGATTTATCAAGGTCGGCATTAACTCATCCACACTTTGACAAGCAGCACGCCTTGGACTTTGTTATAGACTCTGATCTATATTATCCCGACTGCAACATCTGCACTAGTCACCGAGGCATCGGTTCACAGTTGATTGCCGCCCTCAGTAATCCCCTTTCTTTCCAGCGACTATCCTCACGATCCGGTGCAATCCTTATTTGAACCTGTTGTGTTCCCATCATCGATTGTCCTCTGATTTGGTGTGATGGATACACGTTCGGCCTCAGACGAACTCTGTCTGTACGATAGACCGGAGGAATGGTTGAACAAGTTACTCAATCGTGATGGATGCTTCAAGGATTTGGCCTCATTGTTGGACTTTGAAAACCCAGGTAACAATAATCCCGAGCATGGAACTTTATTTCCAAGTTCCAGGGAAAACTGTCGGATCTAGCGGTACTCGAGAACTGGACTATCCTTCGATGCGATTTCATGCTGGCGGAGAACTGGAAGTCCACAAATCGTTTTCACTTCCTCCTGAGCTAATTGAAAAGTTCGCAGGTATGTTTTTTTATCCATTTCTCTCTTTCACACACCCGACACTTCCCTCTTCGCCCAGGAATGCAGAGCAATTGTCTGATGGGCATATTCACGTTGTGCAGTCGAGCTTGGGTGACGATCGACAACGAACTGTTTATGTGGAATTACGAGGATGGGTTTGTATTATTGATTCAAATGTTGAGACTGTTTGTTTTTACAGCGATGATCTGGCTTATTATGACGGGATAAAAGATACCATCATTTGTGTTGGATTGGCACAGCCACGTGTCGGTGAGTTTACAGCCAGTCTCTTCACAGTATGCACCATGAAAAACCTATAATCACACGCTCCTTAAGGTTTTGGAAGGGATCCGCCTAACCAACCAACAGTCTGAAACAGATTTTCTTTCTTATTGAAAGCTTTCTACCCATAAAGACCCGCATGTGTGCCGGAATGTATAGGGGACTTTCTTTAAGTATCCTTCACTTTCCATTCCTGTTCAGTTCCGTGATTGCTGAGGACAGGAAGGTTTTCTGCTGTGCACATTCCTGCGGTCTACCATGAGTAGGCAAACGACCTTTTGCTATCTTTGAAAAGAATAAAAAGTTGCGAAAACCATGAGAAATGCTAGCCAGAATCGTCCAGTTCTAGGACAAAGCGGAAAGCCAAGCTGCCTCAACGTCATCCTAATCTACTCGGAGCATTTCATCCAGTCGCCTAATTCTGATTATGACACCTTGGTTATGACAGTCGTGCTCAGTTGAGTTGCAGCATATTTTCCTTCATTTCTGACTGTTTTTCCTCGTTTTAAGGTGTTCTTCCCGATCGAATCCAGCATCTTCTATGCATTGCTACTGCACTTGAACTGTTTGTTCTGGGAGTGACCTACTCAACTACGGCGGGGGCTCCCATCGGTCATCATGGAGAAGTGTTGCACGTATTACCAGACCCTCTTTACTGTTTGCCCACGGATAACTATACGGTAACGTGTATGGAGTGCACGACCGATGGAAGGTGAGTTGTATTCGTCCCCTCTTGTTCTCTCTCATACCTTCGTATTTCCTTCGTGGAATTAAGCACAAGGCGTCAAACTCCATCCTGAAGGATTCTGGTTAAGGCCCTCCACTGAATGCTGCATTATCCCTTTCCATGACTCATCCACCTGGCTTGTTGGTGATGTGTTGGAATATTGGTAGCTCGGGTGCATCCATTAGTAGTTTATCAGTTGTAGATCTTCCATGACCACTGGATCAGAACGTCAGTGCGTGTGGTGATGCCTCCTGAAATGGTGATGAAACGTCTGTCAGTCAGTTGCCAAACTCGATGCACAGATGAACAAAATCGTTCAGCTGTAAGACCCTTTCGATGCCTACCTGCCATGCTACCTGAAGGAAGCATGAGGGCTGGGGTAGTGCCAGGTTGCCCAAGCCCAGACAGCGGAAGTCGAGAGATAGAGGTCCGGATCGAACCACGGACCTTCTGGTCAGTAAATTCGCGCTCTGGCCACTTGAGCCATCTCGCCCCTGATGAACAGTTAGTACATGGAGTCGTTAGATCGCTGACCTATGTGTGATACATACTGCTAGACTTATTTCGGTCTGTATTGGTGTTGGCTTCTGTGGGATTTGGCCTCACTTTAGTTAGGTTTCCCTCTGGGTGTCCTTGCTGGTGTTTGATGCACTAGCAAGTAGGTTTTCCCTGCGTGCCGTTGAGCTCAGCTGGTGTGCTTTAACCATCCAACTTAGCCCTCTACGTTTGAGCGCATGATCCTGTTGCTGGAAAACGCTGCGCAAAAAGAACACGCCAAGGGTCCCTGCAAAGGGAGTTGAGAAATTCGCTGTCTATGCACTACGGCAGCGAAGAATCAATTTTAATTACTGATGTCATGCTGTCGATGATGATGATGACTGTCTATGCGGGGAGGTTGAGCATTCGGTGCAGCATTTTGTGTGGAAAATCCAACTGAGCACTGTAAGCAAACATCGTGCCAGACATTCGTTTGTCTTGAGCAGATATACGTGGAAGCAGGCCAGCATAAATGAGGAACGAAGGCGAACCTAACTGGGTAATTCCCATAAGGATATCCCCTAGGTTTCTGTCTGACAAGTGTTGTCGATTTTTATTTGATTTTCACAAACATTTCGACACTGGATTTTCAAAAGGATTTTAAAGGGTGTTTTATACGGCTACTCAGACTAGTGCAATGCAATGTGTTCAGAGTGGGTCAGTGGGTCTGGCTAACTTGGGATCAAACAGACCCAGATAGAGAGGTACGGAGTGCTTCAAAAGCAGCTTTGGGAAGAGCACCTGCCCTCTAGAGCTAGTCAATTGGGGTGCCGGGTCGGTGGCTGACACAGACAGGGGTCTTCAAGGGGTCGTGTGAAGCGGCTGGGAATTAACGGAATTGGAAGACTCAGCAAAGGCCGACTTGACTCGTTTATCTGTGACGGTCTTGGATTCACTGCCTTTCAGCATAATGTGCTTGTGATATGGCGCTATACCTGATGATAATGGGGGCGAGATGGCCGAAGTGGTTAGAGCGCGAATTTACTGACCGGAAGGTCCATGGTTCGAATCCGACTTCCGCCTCTCGACTTCCCCTGTCTAGGCTTGGGCAACCTGACAGTATCTCAGCCCTCGTGCCTCTTATGGGTGGCATGACAGTTAGGCGCCGAAAGGGTGCTACAACCTGCTTTATTCTTCCTGCAGCTCGTCAGGAGAACGCAGAAATATCGGAGTGTTTCACGTATCACGTATCAACTCACACCAATCCACATTTTAAAGCCAGCTAACCGTTCTTGTATTGTTCTTCTGTTTGTCTTACTAGGATGTTCCTTGGTACACAAGAGGGCTCTCTGCTAGAGCTAAACTATTCCCCCATACCCGGATGGACAGGAGATCCCTCGGTGCCCCTGAGCCGCACTGGTCCTTGTACACTCATCAATCATTCGGCTTCCGCAATTAGCTTACTGTTACCGGCCGTACTCACCACGGGATTTCGGACGACAGGTGGGTTATATTTTTTTTCTTGGCTGTTTGCATATGGTTTTAAGGTAACCTACGAAGGATAGCAGTCCTAACAGATCTCCTATGATGATACATCCGCAAAAAGAATGCAAATTCCTGCGTTGATTTCTGGTAGCGCTTGTTTGCTACCAGTGAAAGGAAGAAGGCCTTCGCTGCGGAGTTATTTATTAAAAAACGCCAAGTGAACGGTTACAGACTATTGGACAGTGGAGCAAAACTCTCATATACGTCTTGTTTACAAAAAACTGAACGTCGATCTTCTCTTGAACACGTCTTCCAGGACTTTCCTGAATATTCATTGACTGTTGCTCAAATGCAAGCAAATGCGACTCCACAAACTCCCGTAATAGATCTCAAGGGACGCGGGGCAAATTTACGAGAAAACATACTACTCGCATGCCCCATTAGTAGTATCCACCGTTACGCCAGGATGTGTGCTCCTGTTCAAGCTCTTGTCCAGGAAACAACACAAAAACAATGGAGTTGTAGTACCGCAAGAATTCTGGTTGAACGCGAACTTGAGTGCAGTTGAAGAAAACTATGTTTTGTCTCGTCCTGTCAGCCTTTGCAACAGAGGAACTGCTAGTGTGACGTTTGTGGAAATAGACTGATGTCGTTGCACACGTGTCCGATGCATATCCCACAGGAGTGCATTCCTCGTCTTTTAAGCAGTTCCCGAACTGTCTAACCTACTCATTTACGTGACCACTATAGACGAGTTGGGAACACTCTGCCGTCCCTCATAGAATAAGACTTGTTGGTATTTGTTGGATGTGTTTTCTTATAGCTACCGTCTGTACGCGGAGCACTCGATTATCGGGCTTATTACTCAGAGCGGTCTATTTATGCCACATCTTGGTTTCGGGTAACTTGGCCTCTGATGGAGGTGTGATGTCTCTGCACCCGGAAAACAAGAATCAGGTATGCCCCACCCCTACCTGAAAAACGTTCCTTCCGCATTAAATAAGAACGCTACCAACTCTTATCGTATAGAAAACGATATATTGGGTCGATTCAAGTCGTGTCCATCCTACTAAACGGTCTTCTTACTTGAGGCTTTACGTCTCTGTGTTGCCACTTTTCGCTTGTCTGTACTTCTTTCAAATGGGTATTTTGAACTTCAGCTATTTTTCAGTCTTTTCTTACTTACCAATTGAAGTAAATACCCAGTCTACCGTCAATTTCCTTCTTCCGCTACCATTGTCAGATGCCATATGCCAACTGGTATCCGATCCAACTCGTCAGTTGCTCTACTTACGTACCGAAAACTCCAACCTTGCGGTTTATTCCTATTCGATCAAAGCAACCGTCGGTACATCGCTGACACGATCAGCTCAGCTATCCAGTTCGGATTTGGCCTATACCGCGTCTGGCGTGGTCCGCTCGGTAGACAAGGCGCAGTTTCGAAGGTCAGTAACTCCATTCCCTTTTCATCCCGCTCGTGTTTTTGCCGTCCGTTGGCTTTTTTCCCACAACTGGCAGTGTATTGCGGTGGCACTATACTTTGCCAACCAATGTCGGACTCGAGATAGTTCAGTGGTTAAGGCGCCAGCTTACGGACCGGGAGGATCGGGGTACGAACCCACTCCCCCAGCATCTGGACTGCTCTCGTCTAGGCTTGGACAACCTGACAGTATCCCAGTCCTCGTGCCTGCTCCCGTTGGCCTGGCAGCCCGAAAGGGCTTTACAGCAGAAAGACTTCGATTATCGCTAACAAATCTCAGCGGTTGTCCCAAGGCCTGAATGCAAGCCAATTTTGTACCCTTTCTGTGTGAATACATCCCTTGTGGATATGTCTCTCTCCAACACACGGGAAGACAACCTTTTAGGAGAATCGCACCATACTGAACTGATCTCCTCGTCACCGATGATAATTCCTCACATGCAAACGCTTTGGTCTTCATTGTGGGAGAAAATATCGGCTTTAAAGTCAGCCCACAGTCGACAATCAATCATCTCACTTGATAGTTTTTTTTTTGGCTTTTTTATCTACTCAAGGAAAAACTGGAAGTTTCAGTCGGTTAAACCTAAAAAGGCAATTGTTATATCTGATGATTCGCCAATCCGTGGTATCTGCTGCTGACCCACTCCAGTGCCTAGTGTCGGAGAGAAAAAGGCTCACGGAAGGGAACACAATAGCTATATTCCAACAGTGGTTGCGAGAGCGCGAGTGCGTGCGAGTGCGAAAAGTACAACGGCCTCAAGCTTTTTATTGGAAGAACACTGTCTGAACTTGGTCCAATGCTGACGCACGCGGTCTGGCTTTGGTACGAGGCGGCGACGTGCTGCATATTGCGGAGGCGTTGTCTGTCCTTGATCAACGCTGACTCGCTCTGTCTGGGTTTGGTACAAGTCTGTGAAGCGCTGCATATTGAGGGGGCGTTGTCTATCTGGTTAACATCTAGCGGACCTGAGAGTCTCGGGTAGATTTCGGCCTTCAGTGGTTGCTTTCAGGAAGCTGACCTTCCTGATAGCAATCTCCCATGAATGTTGCCCTGATAGTGACTGATTAGGTGAATGTTTGTAGATTTCTTTTGCGGATTGGCTTGTTACTTCAATGAAGTTGAGATGTAAACAGCTGCTACAGAACTGACGGCTCTTGGTGCACTGGTCCAAGACACCGTTTCCAAGGTACTCACATACTTGTCGTGGCATCGATTGTTCATTGCTTTTAAGGCAATCTTGTCTGACTTGGGTTTCCCTGCAGTGCTGCTCTTTTCAAGTTACTCGCTTTTCACTCCAGTAATGACCAGATGACCGCTTATCATTCTTTCTCGATGTAACGAATTTAACTCAGTTTGTACGTATACAAGCTGGCCTGCACCCTGCAAGCTCGTGTTAACCGGCCGCCAAGTCTATTGAAGTCTTCCACTCCCCAGACAATGAAACAATCTAGCCTTCTTTTCGATTTAGTCGTGTAACACTTCGCTGTTCCCCTCTGTTCTAGTATTGCCTCCGTTTTACCGCTGTTTGGCGGCCCGTTCCACTTGATGGCTGTTACGAAAACCGGGATTCGATTGTACTTTGGCGAGCAGTTGCGTCTGCTTCACATCCGATTGCCACCCACATCTCCTTATGGCCGGCTTGGTTTGGGAGAAGTTAAGTGAGTTCACCAGTTTGGATTTATCAATCTTGACATTTGAAGTAGTTCTCTTCGTTTTTATAGCTGCCCGTTGTGGAGACAACCAACGGTGGTCACTCAGTCATCGGGTCTTCTCCCTCACGTAGCAATTATTCACGACGTGCTTCTAAATACTGTCCATGAAAGCAAGAAAGCCCTACGCTGCAAATTTGTCTATTAGCAAACACGAGCTAAGTGGTTACAAGCCATTAGACGCGAAAGTGAGCATCCCATCTGCACAGACTTTTTTCAAAAGTGGACATTCTCAAGTGCCCTCCTGAAATTTCCTGAACTTTCACTGAATAATTAACCAATAGAAAACGGGTGTTGCAAAGCAGTTACTTAATTTCTTTGATCACCTCCGCCTTCCACCGGATGCGGGTGGGGAGCTTGGACATCAGACCATAGACTACTTGCATGCTTCATCAGTAGTATACACTGCTAGCATATTTGGCTCCAACTAGGTCGTGAAGAAAGACACAACTTCAAACGACAAAGCCATGGGATGCTGCGTTGTTGAGGGTTAACATATGCATTAATGGTCGCAATTAGTGTTTGGTTTAATCTTGCATTCGGATGCGGAACGCTTGAGCTCGGGGTGGCTCATTGGTGAAGGCGCGAATTCGCTGACCGGAAAGTCCGTGGTTGGAACCTGACCTCTTCTGCTATTGTCTAGGTTTCGGCATTCTGGCAGTATCTCGGGCCTCTTGCTTCTTTCGGGTGGCGTGGCAGCTAGGCACCGGAAGAGTGCTACAAACGCACATTTTTTTCTTGTCTTATACGAACCGAAGTTTCCGGTTTGCTGTCTTGGAATGCGGAAACGTTGCTAGAAAGACTGAAGCGAATCAAGCATTCTTCTCAGCCTAAGGGGCATCTTCATGGGTGAGAGGCTCCAAATGGGGACTGAATCAGCAAGCTAAATTTTCTGCAGAGTTGACTGCGAACCCGTTGTGTTTTGTCCCACTCGTTTTGTGATAATCGTTTGTCATCATCATTTCTGCGCATCATTTCTGCGCTCCTCGTTGGGGACCCGTCGCCTACTGACCACAGTGTATGGGCGCTTCACGAAAACTTTATACTTTAATCCAATCTACCTATTTATATGTAAATGACTGCTAACGATATTTTCATATTGGTGCAAAAAACGTCAATGTGGTAGTCTCTGGCGATCAAAGGTGTCCGAAATTTATATCCTTTATGAGGACGCTGTATGCTAATTCCTGTGGGTGCGTACGGATATACGGGATGCTCTCGCCTGAGTTCACCACGTCCAGTGGTGTAAGACAAGGCTTTCCTCTTACCCCAGCTCAGCGAACAAGCCAACGACCATAACCTAACTCTCTCGTACGGTTTGGCATTTGCTCCACACCTGCAAGGTGTAAAGTGATGCTACAAGACTGGGTGAAATCAAGCCCATACCTCATGCTTACAGGCGAGCCACTCGATGTGGTAGTCAAATTCGTTCACCTGGGCAGCTGTATAAGTTCCGGTGGACTGGCTGGAGATGAGATACTTTCTCAAATCGGAAAGACCAGAGCAGCTTTTGCCTGTGGCGCCGACGTAACGTCAGCTTGTTTGGCTGCGGTGGTGCGATCCGTGCTGCTTTATGGATTAGAGACGTGACCCTTACGTGCAGAGGACATACGGAAAATGTCAGTGTTTGACCATCGATGTCTTCGAAGCGTTGGTCAGGTCTAGTAGGATCATCGCATTAGCGATCCTGAGTTACGCCAGATGGTTTTTGGGAAGAAGGAACTCTCCCGCGATAGCTTCATAGGTTGTGCTGGTTGGGACATGTACTCCACATGCCAGAAGACCGTCTGCCTCAGAGAGCTCTTTTTCCTCAGCTCTGTGCTGAGTGGAAGCGACAAGAAGTGGACAATGTATGACCTGGCAACGAAGTACGAAAGCACTAACCAGTAAACTTAGTCGGGTGGGCCTGTGCAGCCCCCCTGGGTGGGGACCCCGGGACTCAAATCACCCGTGGTTAATGACATTGGCGGAAATGGCCCAATCGCGCAATCAGTAGCGCTCGTGCATCAAAACTATATCGCCTTCAATGCATAGCTACCCAATTTCCAAACAAACTGAACATGCTTTCGCCTTCAAGCCTGGTTGTATGTTCCATTTTCCCGTTTTCCGGTGATCGAAAGTGTAGCAGCTGGAACTAATGTACCTATGGCACACGGTTTATAGCTGATAAATTGAATCATCTGTAACGGGCTCTGGGGGCTGAAAAAGTTCGGAAACCCTAATATGGTGACACCAGTGGTTTAATTTGTCCAACCGCCAACTCTGTTCCTCGCAGACAGAAACGGACTGTTCACCCTATTTTCTGTGTGATCGAGTTGTAAGTAGGTTTTATTCTTTCCGGATCTCATGGTGATTACAATTTGATGCAACGCCCTTGCCTTCTCTGGTTTTTTTCCAAGACCCTCCTGTCAGTAAGTCATCACTTATAAAGACTGACCATAGTGTGTTTGAGAATTTCGGTTCGTCTATACCCCTTCGAGGGAGCTTTCTGGACACTTTGCTTGAGTTCTCATGAGGAAAGCCAATAGATTACCAGTAACTTTGCTATTACCGGATCTAGTCTCGTGTTTATGCTCTTTTGTCTCCCAGATTGGTCGCCGAAACTCGTGGCACAGTAGTTCTCATCTCAGCATTGCCACCTAATGCCGCATCCATTGGAACAGCTCGTCCTCTCCTCACCAAAACGTCGGATACACAACCGTTCGTACCCGTTCCTCCCACGACGTTGAGTTCCCCGATTTCTTCAGGGAGTGTGACTGGCGGGGAACCAGACACTAGTACACGATCATCGTATGACGTACCGCCCAACATCCTGTATACCCTCAGTCCAGATCCGTACCCATGGACGCCCAATCTGACCGAAGTTTGCACTACAGCTTGGTGTGTTGGTGGTGTCTGGGCTCTAACTGTTCTGCCCTCGGATGAACCAGTCTCCCTTGATTTCGCTTTTTCCAGGTCAGTGAACTTTACTCCACGTTCATATCTTTGTCAACTTCATTGGTCCCATCTTACGCATTGTGCGGTTCAAACCTGTGTCACGTTTTTTATTGTACCCTTGTATGTCTGTTCGAGCAGCAGAACTCAGAGGTCTTCAATTCTTTGACAATCGTTGTCTCGGAATGGCGTCGGTGAATCCGTAACGAGGCGGTTGAAAAGCGCGTTTTCGGTTGTACAACGAAGACTTCCATTGAAGCTGCCTTGGTTGGGCCATTTTGGTGTATGCCGAACCACAATCTGCTAAAGAGAGTGCTATTCTCCGTGTCCTATTCAGGTTGGCGAAAGCAGCAAAATAGTCAAATTGTGACCTGGTAGTAGGCTGTGAAACATCTGGGTGATATCGGTGCGACTCGCCTACCAGGATGGGGACCGCGTGATTCCCACTGCGCTTAGTCTACTGGTTGGTGTCGATGGCGTTCTTGTTGTCAGTTTCTTTCCAGATTGCCTGAGTGAGTGTCTGGAGGTGTGGGCACCTAGGAATGATGTAATCCAGCGCTAAGTCTCTTTCCATCCACCTTTATTCTCTTCTCCACAATATGGCTTGCAAATCAACCATGGTTGTACAGCCATGAAGCATCGGTGTTGAATACTGATATCATGCTGTCGATGATGGTGATCTTATCGTTTATTTTAGTGAGGACACTTGGTGGAGTATCACAACCCTTGTAGAATCTTATCACAGTTAGTCGTCAGTGTTTGGAGCACGAATTTACTGACCGTGGTTCGAATCCGACCTCTGCCTCTCGACTTTTCCTGTCTAGACTTGTGCCACCTGTCAGAATCCCGGCTCTCGTGCTTCCTTTGGGTGGCATGTCAGTTAGACACCGAAAGGGTCCTACAGTTGAATGATTTTTAGTCATCTTGAATAGATTCCCAATAGGTATGATGTGGGGAATCATAGCCCAGATGTGGAAACATTTCCGTCTTTTGTATTGTCTTCGACTTTTATCAGTCGGTAAAAGAACCAGTTGAAGGATGACCTTGTGCTAACTGGCTGCAATCTTTTGTGCCTTTTTCTCAGGAACACGACTTCACCCTGTCCCCGTGGACAACCACCTGTTGTACTAACCCAACACCTCGATCCTCCCTATCGTCGTCTGCTGCTGATATCTGCTCAGGGTCTTGTACATCTACGCCTTCCTAGCCCAATCGTGAGGTTGAAAGAATTCCTACTGCGTGAAGTGTCTTCACGACTGTTGAATACCAGCGTCAACTTGTTTCCCGAACAACCGCCACTGTTAACACCAGGATCCTTCGTAAAACAGACACCCGGTGTCATGTACCCTTCTTTCGGTGACTTGGATGATGTGTCTCCGGAGTTACTGCGGAATACTGGGTTTTTATCAGCCTACTTGCATCAGTTCAGTCCAGATGAGGCTATTTGTGCGGCACTCATTATCGGCTCAGCTCATTCTAGTCTTGGTGAATCGGACAATCGTGGTCTCGGCGTGGCCGTTGAACAAGTGAGTCACGTGTATTCTTTGGTGCTGGTACCCTTGTTGCGCGCTCCTTATAATACATCTTTTCCGTGGCTAGCTGCCATGCCATTCTTGAGGGGGGGAAGCACAAGGGCTGAAATCTTGCCAGGTTGCCCAAGCTTCGGCTGGAACAGTCAAGATGCCGGGGTCGGGTTCGAATCATACACCTGCCGATGAGCAAGTTTGTCTCTTGATCACCGAGCTACCTCGAGCTGCTTACTGATATAATTGGTCCCGAGAAACGAACCCGTGTTTTTCGGCACTAGCTGCATATCCGAGCTCATGGTAGGCAGATATTCGCCTACGCAACTCTAGATAACACATCCTATTGCCCGAAACTAAAGCCTGTAACCAGACATTCACCGGAATTGTCACGAAAAACAAGAAGCAAGCGTCTACATCAGTATTGTCTGTCAGGATCTGTGGTACTGACGGCCAGCGGTAGCTTCCTTGCCAGTCATGATCGCCGCTCGTTTATTTCACGTAGCGTTGTTTTTTTTTCGAATGATCGTTGCAGTTCGGTACAGACCTGATCTTTCAATCGTCAGCTTGTGGCAGGCACGGATTCTAGTAAAACCGGTCTATGGGTACGTTTGCTCACATTTCAGTGTGCCCGTAGTCTTGATCGGACTGAATGTGACCTGTTTACTTTATTTCGTTTAAGTAATATATACTAATAACAGTTCGGCTGTAGCACCCTTTCGGTGCCCAACTACCATGTCACCCTAAGGAAGCACGAAAGCTGGGATACTGCCAGGTTGCCCAAGCCTAGACAGGGTAAGTCGAGATGCAGAGATCGAATTCAAACCACGGACCTTCCGGTCAGTGAATTGGCGTTCTATCTATCGAGCCATCTCTTCATAACATTGCGTCTCACAACATGCTGTACGTTACCCTAATCACTAGAATCTGGGTTTCATCCCCAATAACGGAGATGGCCTATTTTAGATGATAGATGAACCACAATGTCTGACTGTTTATCGATATATTCGCAAAATTGATGAGACCGGTGAATTGCGGGTGTTTGAATGTGGGGATCAACTCCTGGAGGAAGCCAAATGATCAACCTAGCGCTTTTACCGGGATTCTACGCTTTCGGAGAAGTATGTTTCAAGGTCGTACTCACCGGTTTATTCTTCCAAGAGCTGTTTATTGGAATTCAATCCGTCTTCGTATCAACGCTCATTTGCTCATTTCGCCTAGTGGTTATCCACTTTCAGCATTTGTCCTTCCCCGTATCTTATGAACGGGGAACGAACATGCAAGTCGTCATGAAGAGACCGGACCTTACCGGGGTGGGGCGGTTTGTGTACCTCGGAGCTATACTGGGATAGGGTGTCCGCGCAGAGTCTTTCTTACCAGACTGGTCAGTGGTTAGAGCTGTGACGAACAAAGTCTTCTGGTCCTCCAGGTTGGGGATTGGAACATGTGTGGCGACTTTTTCCGCAAAAACAGTAATGTGTTTGCGAAATACACTCATTTGCAAACTAATTTGGTTTTGCGAGATACTCACCTGGAACCCAGCTGAATCTGTCGTAATGTACTTGTATTTGCAGCCCAATACCGCTGCCTTGCGGTCAGGTTTCTGAACTAAAGGCTTTGCTTGAGAACCCTAATCGTCCTCCTGTCTGGATGTGGTCTTCCTGGCAGTATACAACCGACGTACAACCATGATTTGTACATCATGGTTGTACGGTAGCGAGGCATCAATGTTGACCACTGATGTCACGCTGTTAATGATGGTGATGGTGGTGAAGAAACTGTTCAACGCAGTTTCATGCAACCACTTTTAGCTAAGGCTTGTTAGTATGTGTGATTTGGTGCATACGAATGCCTACTAATACGTCACTGTGTGTTCCCTTCACTGTTAGGCCGTTCTGTTCTTCGCTGCGGAAGCCGCTCAGTTCTGGGTTCCTGCAGTGCGCCGCCCCAATCCTGGTTCTGGTGCCCTCATTCGACAATCTGCGTTAACAAGCTCACAAGGCACAAGCCAACCGATCGATCGGGCACTATTCAGTGGGATGTTCCTCTTTAGCGGAATCACCGTGTTCCTGGCTCGCATGGCACGTACGTTTTGGCGCAGTCCGCTGTTTCGGGATGCCAGTGCGGTGTCCAATGGGTCCCTTGCCAAGTCAAACCAATCCAGTGGCTTGATCGGTTCTTGGATGCGAAGCTTTGTCAACGTCCTTGCTTCTGCTTCTCCTCTCCGAGGCGGACGGTCTACAACGGAAGAAAATAGACCGGTGCGGCTCGGTTTTTTATCCGCTTGTTCACATTGTACTATGATCAATTCTGACTGTCAGCATTAGTAACTCAACAAACTCCAGTTTAGATCGTTTGACGGTTTGACTTAAAATCAATTACTCTCTCAGAAGAGCAATTTTACCTCCCAACAAAGACGAGAATACGATATTTGAATTTTTTGTTCCATTCATCAACAATGCGCCTAGTTACTTGTAGTACATAGGTGTTCACCTCTGTAATCTAAGATCCTCAAGATGCATGGTCTTTAGTTACTCCAGTAGTCCCCTTAAAGCGATTCCTTCTCAAGACAAATCAGGTCCCCGGAGGGACACAGCAGCGTTTTCCACCATCCCCGTTTTTTAAAGCGAATCCCCCCTCCACAGCTGAGGGGCCAGTGCGGACTAACTTCTCCCCCCCCCCCCCGCGGACTAACTTCTCCCCCCCCCATCTCGAGTAATATTCCCCACTGCTAGGGAGATTCCATTCCATGGGCTTCAAGTACCCGAACATGGTACTTGTGATGTTTTGTAGGGGCCTGCGTGGAACACAATCCAATGATGCGAAAGTTGGGATGGCACGCGCCATTTCTGAAGATTTGCTTACGGAATTGAACGGGTTACAGGTGAATCGTAGGATCGTGTTGTCTCAACATCTTTGCCATACCTTTCCATGACGAATGTCGACCAACATAGTGTTGATACTTTTTTCCTGCAGAGAACTTTTCACCCATGATTGACATTGAGTTTTATGCACTCTGCATATGAGTGGCCTCTATTACGGGGGGAATCACCTGAATGAAATAACGAGACTGAAAATTTGTCAGCTCGTTTCAAGCAGATTCACCACTGACCTGCATTACACCCAAGTGAAGGATATGGGTCGACGGTCATTGTATTTTACTGGAATTAAAGCATGAAATTGCTGACTGGAAGGTCCGTAATTCTAGTCCCGACCTGGCGTTTTGGCTGCTAGTGTTCGGGTTTGGGCGAGAGTGTCTCGGACTTCACGCGCTTCCCTCGAGATCCACGACAGCTACGCACCGAAAGTCTGAGACAGCTGAGACATCCTCATCGATGTTCACATCCTAACGGGCACGTCAAACAACTTGGTTGAAGGGCCGACCATGCCTTGTTAAGTTTCCCATCCGATGAATGGCTGTTTGTTGGAGGGACTCAACGGGAACTTAATCTGTTACCATCTTCTGGGGGTCGGGTATTTTTCGCTAGCCTTTTCTGTGCATAGCTGTGGGAGGCGAACCTCTCGTCGCTTTGTTACTGGCATACTGCTGAGTTTTTCACAAGTTGTTGCCAGTCATCCTAGGTTCGTGCTGAAGATTGAGACGCCTTTGCCAACAATAAAAAGAACCAGACGTGAGAAACCAGCTAGATTGAGTTGAGTAGTGAATACTACTACTACTAATACTAATAATAATAATAATAATAATCGTTCAGCTGTAACACCCTTCCGGTGCCTAGCTGCCATGCCACCCGGAGGAATCACGATGGCTAGAATACTGCCAGGTCGCCCAAGCCTAGACAGGGGAAGTCGGGAGGCAGAGGTCGGGTTCGAACCACGGACCTTTTGGCCAGCGAATTCGCGCTCTAACAACTCGGGCCATCTCACCCGAATTCGCGCTCTAACAACTTGGGCCATCTCGCCTTCTAAGTAGTGAATAACTGGAGCAACTATACATATCCCTTCCTTTGACAATGGTCCTAAAGGAGACAGATAGCTGACAACCGTGTCGTCCCCCCTTGCTGTCTGGGAGCCAAGCGTAGTCATGCCAGGTTTAGAGTAAAAACCATCACGCAGCTTCTGAGAGCTCTCTGGAATTTACTAAACTTCGTTGTAATGGCAAAGGAAATTCGTTTCTTGATATTTGAATTTGAAAGCACCCCAATTCGATATAATTGATTATTTTCCTATTCGTTCTCTTTGATAGGTCATTTCCCGTTTGGACCCCAACGAGATCACATGGTTGATTCACCAACTGAGTTATTTACAACGATTTCTTCAACGCCAGTTGAAGCTACGTGGAGGATGGCTAAGGGCCTCGACTGCTGGGTTAACCTCACATCCGGAGAAATCGGCAGCTGGCGATGAAAGCTCGGATCAGGTGGACGGGATCCTGCTCCAGCGTTTATCCGAAGAACTGGACAAACTTCTGGGTGCCATGCTGGAAATTTTGGAATTTTGGCGTATCTTTAGTGAACACGCAGTGCATCGGATTGCAGAGTGAGTGACATGAATTTTCCATGCTGTTCTGGTTGCCTCTCGACTTCCTTACGGCAGTGAAGCATCAGTGTTGAACACTGATGTCATGCTGTCGATGATGATGATGATCTCGACTTCCCCTGTCTGGGCTTGGGCAACCTGGCATTATCCCAGCCCTCGTACCTCCTTCGGATGGCTTGGCAGTTAGGCATTGAAAAGGTGCTACAGCTGAACGGTTATTTTTTTGGCTGACTATAACAGAAATCACGGAGAAATGTATTTTGTAATCTGTGCAGTATCTCAGCTGTTACTCAAATTGTGTTCCACAGAATGCGAACTGCTTGGAAATTCGATCCAATTGTACAGTCAGCTATAAACCGTGTACTGCAGGCATATTACTTCCAGCTGCTACAATTTCGGTAACCGGAAAACGGAAGAGTGTGGGACATACAGCAAAGCATTGGAGGTAGTGACATGTTCATCTTGTTCGGAAATAGTTCCACACCGAGGATGATAGCTTTGAGCGGCACCGATTGCACGATTGGGCCATTTCTGCCAGTGTCAGTAGCGATTGGTGAGTTGAGTCCCGAGGTCTCCATCCGGAGAGGCCAGGTCATTCACTGTCTCCCTCTTTGTGGCTTCCACTCAGCACGTGGCTGGGCGAAAGGAGCCCTGCGAGGCAGGCGGTGTTCTGGCATGCGGAGTACATGTCCTAAGAATCGTAACACTTGAGTAATTGATCTATCGCGGGAGAGTTCCTTCTTCCTAAAGCCACCTGGCGTACTTCAGCATCACTAATCTGATGTTCCCACCAGACCTGACCAATGCTTCGGAGACATCGATGGTCAAACACTGATATCTTTCGTGTGTTCTCTGCACGTAGGGGCCATGTCTCTGATCCATATGGCACTATGGATCGCATCACCACAGTGTGAACTCTGTCCTTAACAGACAAGCTTACGTCACGTCGGCGCCATAGGTGTCGGAGTTTGTCAAACACTTCTCTGCCCTCCCCATTCGAGTAGTAACCTCATCGCCTATCCACCGGAGTTCATAAAACTGCCCAGGTGAACAAATTTATCTACCACATCGATTGGCTCGCCTGCGAGCATGATGAGTGGATTTGATCCAACTCAGTCATGTAGCGGCACTTCACTGTTTGCAGTTGTGAAGCGCATGCCAAACCGTGCATCTGGGATGCATTTGAACCAAGGAAAGCAATGTCGTCCGCATACTCAATTTCTGTCTGCCTAGAAACGCTAGTCAGAACTGTTTTCTAGAGCAACTTAGGGGGGATTTTGCCTAATTATCCAACTGGTCAAAACCCGTGAGTAGAGCAGACCGTTTGTCACAGGTCTGCTCGCTGACCTGAGCAATTGGGTTGTAAGCTTTTCATCACATATCGAAGTGACAACGTCAGTGGAGGATTTGCAGCCGCGTTTAAAATAGTTCTCTGGATGAGTCTGCACTGCGGTGCATACGCCCATATGACAAACAGTACCACGTTTCTCTTTAAGATGCAGCACTCTTCTACAGCTTCCGCTGTCAATGGGGATGTATCCTAGCGTAGCTTCGGCCCAATTACCAAACGTGTGTCTTGGCGCCGCTACCCCGGAGGTCTCAGAAACATGCAGGTGGTATGGGTCGTTGGACAGTCCGATCGTATTGCCGCGCTAGAGTCTCAAATTTGCGTTTTTAGGCAACCTGTAACAAAAGCACCGGGGTCAAGTGTATATAGTAAACCTATTTGTTGTCGTAAATACAGTCGGTTCGAAAAGTTTGCGAGTCTCTGGGGGTTGTGGGATTCGAGGCATCTATCTGTGACTAGATGACGCATTTATTTTCCAACCTGAGCTGAGGTTGTAATAACAGCATTTTCATTAACTTAGTTCTCGGTCTAAAGCTTCCAAGCTAGCGTCTTCGTCAAGAGCATTCACGAAAGGCCAACAGCATATATTAGCACCTAAAACCCAGTCAAAACCGCTTGCACATTGTGTCATGTATGAGGTGTTTACCGCGGCAACATTCTGGAAAATCTGATGCCTTCTGGATGAGGCACTGACGACCGGTACTCGAGAAATACTGGGTCATGATTGGCTGTTGGGTCCAGACTTTCAACCAATCAGAGCTCATCTTGATGCTGGGCCGGCAAGCAACCCGAACTTTTGGCCAATCGTGTGCGGGATAGGCTTCTTGGTCGTAGCAGCGCCTCCTTGTGAACAGTAAAGCGGCATCTGTATGGAATTCCTCCTGAATAGGTGTCAGCGCTCGTAAAGTGAACCGGGTTAGTAATGAGTGTTCAGATTGTCGAAAAAAGTGCGATTGGATGTGCAGTGGTGTGGATTCCGACTCAGCTAGCGTACTCGAGATAGGACCAACCATCTTATATTCCCATGGTTGGTTTGTGGAATGCATACTAGCCATGTTGCCCAAACTGAAATAAGCGGTTTTATTGGAGAACCTCGTCCGACCTCGTCGACCTGAAACACCGTCTTCTTGGCACATTTGAACACAATCGCAACTCACACGTCCACGTGGGACGCTCAGTGCATTTTGCACTAGTCGGTACGAAAACCATTCCATGTCTGTCTACAATTGGGAAGTGCTTAAATACGGAGTTGCGTCCAGTTTCCCGGGAAGTGGCGTTTCCTATGTCACCGTCAGCTGAAAAGAAGCCGGTGGCAGCCTTGTGAAACGCCCTATCCCGGAAGGAACCTCTGAGCTGTTCTTACGCGTTCCTCTGTTTTTATTCTCTCCGGGTTTTCAATTCATCTTAGGGCAACTCACACTGACCTTGTCACGATCCATTCAGTAGGTCTTATGTTATGT